CACACACACACTCACACACTCACACACACACTCATACAGTGTATTTTCTTTGCAGGTTGTCGGAGATAAAGTTTTGGAAGAGGAAATCAGTTTTCCGGTAAGTTTTTCTTCTCTGTTGTTATTTGTGTGTGTTTCTGTAACTCAAACAGCTCACAGATCTGAATCAAACTAAACGTATGCCATGAATGCAATGCAAGTCACTTTGGAAAAAAAGCATCTGTCAAATGCATCAGTGTAAACGTGTGTGTGAAATATTGTTTCTCAGCAGCAAATAACCTTCTCTCTCTATACAGCTTATGTTCGGTCGCTTTGGGCAGGTGGTGGAGACAAAGAAATCCATTACACTACAGGACGTCAGCCAGGTCAGTTCACATACACACACACACACTCTCACACTCACACACACTCTCTCACACGCACACACATACACAGACACGCACACAGCTGCGGATAATAATGGAGCTTTTTCATTCGTTCCCAGCTGACAGCTTTCCAAAACCAGCTAATTATCACCACAAACAGACAGACAGTTGATCTGTGTTAAATGAGTTCAGCTGGAACAGAAACTGTCACTATCCTTCCTTTTAATCAGGATCAAACTCACCAAACACACACACATGTTGACGTCACCGTATGACGGATTGAATGTTGTCTGTGTGTCTCTACAGGAGGAACGCGGGTTATTGAGCAGTCTGTTGGGGTTCGAGCCGAACTCGATGCTTTGCGTTCCTGTTATCAGTCAAGCCACTGGACAGGTGGTGGCGCTAGCGTGTACCTTCAACAAACTGAGCGGACAGAGGTGTGTGATGACATTACAAATAGTGAAATATTATTACGATTTAAAACGGCTGTTTTCTATGTGAATATCTATTAAACTGTAATTTATTTCTGTGATCAAAGCTGTATTTTCAGCATCATTACTGCAGTCTTCAGTGTCACATGATCTTCAGAAATCATTCTAATATGCTGATTTCCTGATAATTTTTGATTAGTAATATGCATTGCTAAGAACTTCATTTGGACAACTTTAAAGATGATTTTCTCAATATTTAGATTTTTTTGCACCCTCAGATTCCAGATTTTCAAATAGTTGTATCTCGGCCAAATATTGTTTTATCCTAACAAACCATACATCAATGGAAAGATTATTTATTCAGCTTCCAGATTATGCATAAATCTCATTTTCACAAAACTGACCCTTATGACTGGTTTTGTGCTCCAGGGTCACATATATTTAGTTTGACCTTTTGAGCTGGCTGCTGATTTAGTAAGGGCATTAATATGGTGTTTGTATTTGTTATGTTTTGAGGTACATGGAGGCGGATGAGCATGTGATCCAGCACTGTTTCTGTTACACGTCGACGGTTCTCACCAGCACACTGGCCTTCCAGAAAGAGCAGAAACTCAAGTTCGAGTGTCAGGTGAGAAGACGAGAAACTGACTTAAAGGGACAGTTCACAAAAAATACAACTGTCATCATTTACTCACCCTCATGTCGTTCCAAACCGGTATGAGTTTCTTTCTCCTTTAGAGCATGAAAGAAGATATTTTGAAGAATGTTGGTAACCAAACAGTTGACGGTAGCCATTGACTTCCATAGTATGGAAAAAATACTATGTACAGTGGTGGCCAAAATGACTCTATTTGAATAAATCATTTTGGGCCACCACTGTAAGTCAATGTCTACCATCAACTCCTCAACTATTTTAATGCTTTGGCAATACAAAATGTACTTTTGTCATGCTAATAAAGCTATTTGAATAGAACTCCATTGCATTCAATTGAACTGAATTGAATTGAACTAAATTGAGAGAATGCGTGAGAGAGAGTGATGGACTCTATATGGACAGCTCTGGGAGTCTCACAGTATCCAGAGTGCTGTGAAATCCCACAATGCACCAGGAATAGCACATACTGCCCTGACCCTTCAACACACACACACACACACTCACATACACACACACACACACACACACACACACAGACA